AGGGGCGGCGCCAGGGGGGGGCAAGGGTGGGCTGGAGCCCCCCCAAAATTCTCGCCTGCCCCCCCTATGCCCACCCAAGTGCCCGGAAGCATATATTGAAAACCTAGTAGGAGCAGAGCTAGCTTGCCCCCCCGGAGGAACTCACTTTTCGTGGTTGCCCCCCCAGTAAAAACATTCTGGCGCCGCCCCTGTGTAGGGGGCGGCCATTTTGGAAATGCCGATGGCAATAGAATGACTGTATTCATTTTTTTTTTCGTACTCAATTCTAAGGCGCATGCGATTTATGAACTCGCTTAACCGGAAAAAAGGTGCCTGTTAGATTCGAGTAAGTACGGTATTAGGCATGTATTTCGAGACTGATGGTGCTAACAGAGCTGCACTCAGACAGATCCCCACCAAAACAAAAAGGTATTCGAACTCCCTGAAAACCTGTTCGAAATTGGAGGTCACAATACACTTGAGATAGTCAAGGCGCAACAGCACTTACAGCTGCTCATTTCTTTCAAGAACCAAATCGGGCCACAAGATACTCGACCATTTGGGCCTCAATTCTGTTGACCAGTGCCTAGATTCCGTGCGCATCCTGAGAGACATCAGGCCTCAACTGTACATCGCACCCATTCCCGCAATATACACCCTGCATACAACAGCGGTCGATGTAGGGCCAGGGATAGAGCTCTGCTCAAACACGTCCATAGTAAGCCCATTGATGTAAGCTTCATGGATGCTGTGCCTTATGTTCTCCAAGAGACATTTGCTGTTTTCATCATTGACTCAAATTCCAGGCTAATTTGCTCCACCAAGGTATGCACACCGAAGCCCGTAATAGCCGAACAGGTGGCAATCATCTTGGGTGTGCTAGATAGTCGCAGAGAGTCAATATAGAGCGGCACCAAGCTGGTTATCAAGACCAACGAAACCGGGATGGTCGACCCTCCAGCCCTCTGCATTCTCCAAAACTTCAAATGTATCATGCCTCATTCTCTCACTTGATTTCTGCTCACCTGGGGTCGATTGAGGGCTCCACCTCTAGCCCTAACAAAGGTGTACACGAGGCCGAGCGAAAACTTGCTGACCGTGCCACCTCCGCAGTCCACCCTGCCTCCTGGAAACCTTTACTCACGTTCAAAGAACAAAACACTCTCAAGACAGGTATTCCCTCTCCTACCTTGCCTTGTGCAGGGCGCAGGCAGTTACTCTTAGACTATTGCAAGCCAGTGCGTATCCTAACCCTGCGGTTCTTCATGCCATGTACCCTGAACGGTATCCCAGTGTGGACTACCCTGCCTGTGGACTATCGGCAAAATTCAACCATGTGTTGAGTGAATATAAAACCATCAGTTCCACTTTCAGCAAGAACAGGTAACGGCACTCTTGCGCAGCGCCGAACTCAACAATCAAACCCTGACTGTCCAGAGTGCCCGTGAACGGGCCACCAAGCTCTGCTGAGCGGTCCCTCCATGGGACTAGCCGGGTGATGCGGGGTCTCCCCTGCGTCTTCTGTGGACCTTGATAAGACAGATGCCTGGGCTAGTTGGAGATAGGGAATCAACATATTTGCACAGCGCAAGACTACGAGTAGTTACGGTGTAACTACTCGTAGTCTTGCGCTGTGCAAATATGTTGATTCTGTAGACCACAATGAAGTGTCCATCATAATCACCATCAATCCACATGTAACCACTTGCAGTGAAACAACTGCAGCGGAGGAATGCTATGCGGTGAAAACACTTATATCCAGGAGGAATCTGCACAGCCACGAAGCCCCACTTGATGGTTAAATTAACATACTACCCTCCCATCAATTCATATTTTTCAAGTTTAAAAGCTTGTTATACAGGTTTATATGCTTTGAGTATAGTACATTTTAAAACATATTTTGCAGGCAATCACTTGCATTCTATCGAAAATCAGATCCTCCTACTATTCAAAGTTGTTTCTAATTGCCTTGAACAAAAAAAAGGCATTGCCACAAGTCTTATTTAAATTTTTTACAAGATGTTGTACAAGTTAGTTAGGTCACAACAATTATGCCCATTTTTATGTATATTATTTTTATTTTATTTATTATTTATTTTCACATACTGTTAACCCTTTGCAGGGTTATTACAGGAGTGGGAGCGAAGGGGAACAAAAGAAAAACAGAAAACATTCACATCAATAGTAACAATCAATTTTGGACCGAGCAGCCTTTCTCAACAAGTTCAAATTAAGGAGGCTGCATGTACGAGTTAAAGTGGTAGTGGGCGCATTAAACATATTTTACACCCGTAGAAAGAAAAGAAGGATAATAAATCATAGCTGTAAAAGTTGGTGCAAATACAAATGTTGGCAAGCAAGTCAATTCAGGACAATTATAAGGACAAGTATGCCCATTTTCTTGTATAATATATTATACTACTCGAATACGATTTGAAATTATTCTACTAAAATCACTATTCCCTCCGGATCCGCTTCGTACCTAAAATTCAGTATTTCAACAAGCCTACTAAAAAACAATAAGTGAAAATGTACATGTTTCCTTTTGTAAAATTCTAAGCATACAGCAGCATTTCAGTTTAGCCCTCTATTTTTCCATAAATTTCAGCTGACAAGAATTACGAATAGTTTTTCGTGACACAGCAAGACTCTTGCAGAGATGGCCACTGAGGTCTTCCGATTTGGAGCATTTTTGAGCAGCAAAATTTTCTATTTTAGAGCACTTTGGAAAGGCGAAATTTTCCCTTTTAGAGCACTGTGGAGCAGCTAACTTCAAATCCTGGAAGAGAAGCAAGTTGCATTTACATTTAAGAACATGAAATATAATTCTGAGACTCTTGTGAAGAGCTAGAAATACTTAGATTCATTGCAAACTTCATGAAGCCAATCATCTTCGAAGCACTCCCTATTTCAGTTTATGACGCAAGAATAATGATGTCATGCTGTCGAGCATTGTGGAAAAACTTTTCAGTGATTATTTCTGTAGCAAATAAACAGACTACTGGTTGAATAAAATTACACTTCATGAAATAACAATATAAATACACTTATGTCGTTACCAGCAGATAAGGTAGACAAATACTGTGACGTACAACGCTAGAGACTCACATGGCCCCAAGTGCATTTCCCTAGGACGACTTCAAGAATTAAAAAATGTTCTTTTTCTTCATGACTGATTACACTGCTAGGCATAATATGACGTCATTCAGCAGGTCTCAGAAAGCCAACCTCCTCCGGCACTCATCTTTGTGCTGAAACTACACAAGTTAACAAACTTCATTTCCCTTTTGCTGCAATATCTTATGTGGCTAGGGCGTTCTGTCTATACTCCGAAAACCCCCTACTGTGTCGTCTAGAAAGCACTGCATAAAAAAAAAATCTTACAGGGTACCTACGTCTAAGCATAGTGCCTAGAATATTCTAGTCACTGTGACCTAAGACAACTCGAAGGCAAGATCCATTTTGTTTTTAATAAGATAGCAATTAAATGGACATTCTCGTCTGTTTTTTGCCGTTGTCAGGGGTGTAAACAGAAATATTGAAAAAATGGGGGGGGGCATTGCACCTTGATCTGAAAGGGTGAGGGGACAGGCAAAAGGTCATTTTGCACTTATATGCCATGGAAAAACAAATTTCAGGTGTGAGGAGGGGCACGTTCCCAATGTGCCCATTTCTGAGGTCCATTCGTTTGTGACGTTCGTGCTGCATAGATAGAATCCCACTGGTCTAGAGCAGCAGAGCGCGTGCCTGTCGACACTGTTTGTTGCCGCGGCTTCTATCTCACATTAGCTACAAGCTTCCGTTGGTGCTTACATTACAGCACAACTGCCTTACATCCCGTACGACCATGTTTGGTAGCATTATGGTGCCTCTCTTCACATATTTCTGAAGAAAACGACACAAACGAGCAGTCTCATTATGCATCCAGATAGCGCGCGACAGCTACTTCAAGCGACACAGCAGTCTCCCCTCTACCCCTCCCTTCTGAACGAAACAAAACATGCGTTGCCGTAATGTTCATTTTTTTTTTAACCCTCACCTATTGACCTTGGAAAGCAAGAGGCGGACGTGTAACAAGGCGTAGTCGCTTGACAGGCCTTCCCACACTAGAGCCGCCAGCGATGGACTCGCTATAGCTGCAAGTACTAAAACCGAGTTGCGGCTGCTTTGACCAGGAGGCATGCCTTTACTAATGAGATAACATTAAAAAAAAAGCATGCGAGAAATTTCAATTCGGGCCCTAGCAACCTCAAGTTCGAAAGGCCAGAGTTTTTTAGGGGTTTTTACTGCCACGGCAATCATAAGCGTGGTTGTGCAGGTGGAAAGAATCACGAAAATGCTCTTCTGTATAATAATTCATGAATAAAGTATATTGGAAAAAAACTGTCAACGCGTTCCCACCATTTGCGTGTTCTTCTGCAGACACGAATCACGAAAAATTAGATCGCGATGTCCAGACAAAGACCTGACAGACATTCTTATGGCATGCGTGCAGTTATTTGTGAAAATTGCTTTATTGCATGCCGCGCAACTCTTCAAACGAACTATCAGCAGCGTTCGTGGAACAGACGACGTCTGCCGATAAATCGACGCCACTTTTTCACGCTACCTATTGGATTAGATGTCACGAGCCCCTGCAGAGAGTGCGTTTTGTTATTATGTGGACTTGCCCAACAGAGTTGCATCAGCTTCAAACCCATCATCGTGGATTTTAGAATGCACACGCGACCACAGTTTATTCAGTGAAATAAAATAGGTGCGTGATTGTGACTTTGGTGACCCCAAGAACAAGATGCACATGTATTGACACGCCAACGTGGCTATTGCCGGTGATAAACACTTCCAAGTCTGACTTTGATGCAGTTTGGCGCAATTCGCGTTGACATTATCAGGATGGCGCACTTTAGCACAGTTGGCGCAGGAGTGGGATCACTGCTCCACGCATCAAGATTCTGCTGTAGTTTGTAACAAGAAGTAGGCAACAATAAACAACACATCGAATATAGGGCCTACGTGCCTACCTGCTTAATGCCCGGTGTGCCCTTGTTGGTGTTGAGCCGATCCAGCTCACTGTCCACGACGACGTTGACCGCCACTTGCAGTGCATTCCATGCAAAGTGCATCTTGGCATCCAAGTCCTTGCCCATCACTTTGCTCACTAGTTGCTGCATCAATCAAAACAAAAGCGCCCCTTTTCTTCTGAGTTAAGAATTATTTACACTATGACGGCACAAGTGGCAAATAGTTATTTTCCAGTTAAATACAGCATACAATTACTGCCTAAGAAGCTTACACGAACACTGAAGCAGTGTAAAAAGAAAGCAAAGTCCCTTGTTACATAAATATAACTGTAACTACCATTAAGAGCGGGAGGCTACACTTGATGGACAACTTTTTTATTTATGTATAGATCTGAATGAAATTTTCACAGTTTGTGTATTTAGATGTGCAAATTCTAAAAATGCATTTACGTTTTTGCTATGTCAAGTAGTTTCCAAGATACTCCACAATCTATGTAAAACCTGAGTACTTTGTTTGAAGCCTAATTAGCATCTAAGCAGGAAGCACCAAAACATTGGCGACAGTGTAGAAACAATGTAGGATGTTTAAGGAGTGCAATATGCTATAAATAAATTTGCTCGGCCAAGTTTAACACGAGTTAGAGGACATAAATATTCACAAATTAATTTTAAAAACTTTTGATCTGTATATTGCCTTCAATATAGACATATTGCATACTGCATGCATTTATCTTTCTGTCAAAAAAAGAATTATGCTGATATCTCGAATGAAACAAGTTATTTTCCCTCCAACTTGGCAAATGTGCCAAAATTACTGTTTTGAGAAAACAATGAAAAACGTTTCAAAACACCTTTATTGGAAAAATAAAAAATAAAATCTTACGAAAATGCACCAGTGGCATAATCTGGATGCATCCCATCCTTATGGTTCTTCTTGACCAGCTTTATCAGACTTTGGGACGCATCTCTCTGTTTATTTGAGGTTGCACTTTGATGACAGTCCTTTTCCCTAGCCCTTAGGGATGTGCTGCTAAATATCGTGATGTCCAGATGCTCTAGAATCGCAGCGAATGCATTGACAGTGCCCGTGTTGAAGCACAGCACAGCTTCTGCAACAGCAGCTTGCACAGCAAAAAGACAAGCGTGCTGCTCCTTTGATACCAAACTCCAAATAACGGATTGGAGGCTTTCGCATGAATTATGTATTTTGCCTTGCTGGCATCTTGCCTCGCTGCCGCACCACTTTGACTCTTAAAAGTTCTCAATTTTTCGCGCTGTTGCCTACTCAACGAAAGACCCTCAAGCGTCATTGTTGTCTCGTGGGGGTGCGCGTCACGAACTTCACTGGCATTGATCACATCAGCGTCTACCAGCACATGGCCAGAGTCGACATCGCACGCACTGTAAGGGAGACCAGTGTCTACGCGGATTTCACCGTTGCCAATAGTATTGGCGCGGTCATAATCCACAGAGCGTCCGCTATCTGGGTAAGCCGTCTCACACACTCCCCCATTTATAACATATTAAATGGCGGCCAGCGTCCATGCCACGCATGCACGAGGAATCGTTACGACGGCGCTCTCAAGATGCCGTTATCAAACAATGTCAGCACTTGCTCCCGTGACACAGTAGCAGCACCACTGGGCTTTTTGTTTCTGCCTCTTTCGTGAACGACCAAAATAATGCTGCGATCTATACTTTTTCGCACCGCCGGGCATAGGGAGACGCACAAGCATGTTAGGAATATGAGTCACGACACCCTTTCAAAATGGTGGCAGGCAGTGCCAGCAATTTTTCCTGGCCAATCGGGAAATGCCATTTTGGTTACGTGCGTCAAGCAACCAATAGAATCATGCGCTGCGCGTGATTTTGACTTCGCTTTTTTTTTTTGCCTTTGCGAGGGCAACATAGTTGTCTACTGGAAAAGAAAAAAAACCAGAAATGCGACCTTTCCAACAAGACCAAAATGGCGCTGGTGGAGCGCGTAGTTCGCGTGCCATCAACGGTTGAAATACAGCTAGTTTACACTTTAATTTAAACATCTGCTTGTGTAAAGCTGCTCTTTTTATGGGTTATAAATTGAGAAATAAGAAGATCTGCGAAGCCAAACTTTGATGATAGTTGCGGAAGGACATCTGGAACCCAAAAATTATGTCAGACTGGCAGATCATATGAAGGGCACGATTGAACCCATGAGCATGAGGAGGAAAGAAACTCCAGTGAAGGTGAACTACAAAAAAAATTCTGCACATCCCACGTACCTTGGGAACAGACGTTATGTGCAGCATGGAGGGAGAAGGTGACCGTGTTGTAATCTTTTTATTGAGCAACACGTTATGGAATGATGCTAAATATGTGTAGAAATGTTGAACATGTTGAAGCATGTTGAACAGTCACATACCTTTTATATAACCAGTTGTTTACACTTTCACAATGACGCCAACCTCAACAGAGTATTAGCAACACAAGATGCGGTAAATTGATATGCAACGCTCGTACTCATGGGGACGGTAGCCTTGAACACTGCTACATAAATCAACATCACTGTATGGCACTTGACTGCAATCGACATTCACTTGATGAGACAGCTGTATCATAGGAATACATATGTAATGCTTATAAAATTGGATAGCCAGCATTACAACCACAATTGAGTTTCACCAACATTACACCTGAATACGCTAGAATCTCGATGATACGATAACAATTGATGCGAATTTTGTGATGACACGAACTTCAAGGTTGCTTCGGATGAACTACATTATATAAAATATGCCATGATTCAGTTTTATACAAACGATTTACCCAGCAACCGCCGATGATACGAACGGCCAATCGACCGCTGCACGCGAGCGGCGCAATGCGGATTGTCTGTGGGAGGAAGGCCCATTCACACTTGGCCTCATAGAAAGCGAATGTGGAAAGACTCACCACAATTTCCCTTGCTTCGACGCCGGAAAAGTGGCCAGAAGACCATACTGCGAGGCAGACGCGAAAAAAATATGTCCGAGACCAATTTCGCCGCCATACAAAAGCGAATCGCCTTACTGCTGCGACTTTTGCTACACCGGGTGTGCTAGCTCTCGAACCACGTGGTGTAAACAACCAGCCGTACATTCAAGATCGCGGCCAAAGCGTCAGCAGGTGCAGCGACTCGCTTGGACGCAATCGTGAACTACCCGCACAGCAGGACAAAGCTCATGGCCTTGAAAAAGATGCGTCCTTGCCCTAACATGTTAACATGTGTCTCTTTTGCACATGTGTCCCTTTTGCACTGCTGGTGCATCTGCTCATGCCATTTCTTCTGACTATCTCCCGAAACAACATTTGTAGAGGTGTAAATTGTTTCTTTTCAGTGCTTTGCATGTATAACTAGAACTCGGTAGGCATTTCAATGCTGAGGAATAAATTCTCAAGCGGCGAAGATGGCGGCGGCGGTGGCATGTATACAAGAGGCAGAACATTTTGTATGGGCGCGAAACGTGGTTTTGTGGTCACTCTGGCGTTTTCCCTTACATTCTCAAGTGTGAATTCTCTTGAACTAACTTTTTTCGTATCGACTTCAAAGCGCGTTTTTTCGGCCGCTTAAGCGGCAAAGGGAGTGAACTTTCAATACGTTTTGCCACTTTCGCTCCCTTTGATGCCAAGTGATAACACGCCTTGTAGTGCCAGCAGCATGAGTGAGAAAACTGCAGCACTTTATTGAGAGGCAGTGAAAGCACATAAGTTTAAAAAAACATCATGGACTTTTTTCAGCAAGAACTAGTTGACACCATTACAGTTTTTGTCCCTCTTCATGATCAGCTTTAACTTGCTTTTGGTTCATACGAATTCGGCATGATACAAATATTTTGCATGCTCCCTTCGAATTCGTACCATCGAGATTCTATTGTACTGTATTTTTATAGAGCAGTACCGTGATCTGGCATGGCTCTATGGTAGAATACTTTATTGCCAAACAGAACGCTTGGGTTTGATTCCACCTGGGACCCTGTTATTCATTCTTTGCATTCGTTGGGTCAACGTTGCGATGTCAGCTTTTTTCTTAGAGTTCTCACATTAAAAGTATCAATGCTTTTTTCTTAGAGTTCTCACATTAAAGGTATCAATGTTTCTTCTCGCCATTCCCGCGTAGACAAACTGTCAATCACGTATGGCACATACGCACATACCTGTGGCACATACCTTTTCATGAGTGTATGCCACATATCTGGCAGAAAGGGTTTGACAATGAACACGACGAACTGTCACATTCTTAATGTCATGATCAGCGTGTCATAATCGCCAAACCGTTTTACTTTCTCATATTAATTTTGGTTCAACCCAAGTTAAAGGGTGAACCCGAGACCACCCAAACGTAGGTGGACCGGTAGATAGATTACAAGACTGCGTTGCTGGGCTTGTTGGTTTCAACACATTCGTTGTGCTATGCAGTAAGGAAAAAAACTGTTTTTATAAACATGGTTGTGATATGAATATATGTTGCTCTGCCGATCCTGTTTAGCATTGTAGAATGCGATGTGCATTGCGCCTGCGTGCTCCACTCGGCTGTGTATAGTATATTTAGGGAGATTTAGTCGCGAATTTGTGCCCAGTCCTGTTCATCTGTGAAACTTTGTAATTTTCCAGTCGTCAACGATTTCACGCTTCCAAGTTTCAAGAAAAAAAGAAGGAAAGAAAGAAACAAGGAAAGGCTGCTTGCCTGCTTGTTGTTGAGTGAATAAGGTGATCGACAGTTCCGCGACACATGCATCCCCTGTTATGTTGATAAAATACGCTTTGTCAGTTTCACGCGCTACCCTAACCTTGAATCTAGACTTAACTGCCGTATCAACAATGCATGTGTTGCGAAACCCTTGGTCACGTTACTTGTCACTGAGGCAGCTTTTCTGGATGCACACCATTAAGACAATCTTTGTTTATTTACTGTATTTATCCAAATCTAGACCAATAGTTTTTTTGGTATTTTTCTGTATCAAACTCCAGGATCGACTTAGATTGAAAGATTTTGAAAAACTCGCCATTTTTCATTTAGAAAAGTGATGCTGAACTAGACCACCTAGACAGTATTACAGCCGTTAGTAGCCGAGCCAACACCTAGCACGCGAGGCCACCATTTTTATCTTTGCGGCGAGTTTGAGGCG